GTGATGTACCGTGGGCTTTGGTTTCTCCTGGTGGGGATGCGCGCCCGTTTGTAGAGTATTCTTGGTCGGAAAAACGGAGGGAACCGGGATGCATCACGGCCACGCTTTTGTTAGTGGAAGCGGGGTTCCAAGCGTGCCGGAATTCATTGCCCACAAGAGTTTTTTGGGGGGGGGGGGAGAGAGAGGGAGAATGAGAGAGAGACAGAGATCAAGCGGGGAGTTACGACGAAATAACCCTTTAAAGCGGGCTATCCACTTTCAGACCAAATTTCGTTCGAGGGGCTGTTCAAGGAACGTCGTTGTAGCGAACGCGACTGTGGCCCACCCTAGAAACGGTGGGTCTTGTGCTCCAAAGAACGACACAGCAGTTGTGGCTTGATACATACCTACGCGTGAACACAAGAAAGAGCTGCGCGTGTGCAAAACAGAAAAGGCAACACTAATCCAAGTTCTGGATGCAAACGATGAGGGTACCTGATCTCGACACCACAGCGCGGCGTCGTAGATCCAATCTTTGCGGAAGCGGTGTGTCTCGTTCGACCTGAGCCTGTCTTTCAGCATTCGGGGAAATGCGGCCTCCATGATCTGAAAACCGAGAACGGGAAATCACGACGTGCAGAAATGATTAAAAAACAACAAAGGACGACGGTAACATTAACACACGACAACTAGCCCACGCCTAAACAACACACATCCGTAACGTCACACTATTCACATCCGCAACCCTCAGTACACCTAGGCTGTAGTGTGTTGTTGCAGATGTTGGATATTTATGAAAAACATGCACCTACGGCAACTAACCTTTGTAAAGGGCTTGTCGGCCACCGGTATCCTGTCGCTGACCACATTCCGAACGGTCTCTTCGCCATGAAATGCCAAAAGCTCGCAACAGTCGGCCTTGGCGTACCTTTGTTGCCGATTGAAAACGCACGCACCAAGTCGACCAGAGTAAGTGCCTCAGCGACCGCATCTGCGGCTGTGAAAACACGAAATGAACTGACCGAAGCTGCTCGGAACATGTGGCCGAAGGTGACACCGGGAGAGAATCAAGTAGCGGTTTCGACTCTCACGCTGCACGCTAATGGAGACTTATTACAACTGAACCTAGAACAAGGCATGTTCTAGTGTCATGAAGAAAATTGCCTTCAGCTTCGGCAGAAACGAACAGGCGGCATATCTTTGATACCATGAACTCTTCGAGCATCGCCTCTGGTCAAAAGATATTGAGTGGCCTAAAGAACAACGTTGCATGGCCTCCAGGGGCCACGACCGTACCAAGGAGATAACACACCAACAACGATCGACGAAGCCCTTGGTACGCGTCCGGTGGTTGGAACATGTGGGGTTGTACTACACCACAGCCACGTAACGCTCAAGTTGGGAACTTGCGCTGTCACCTTGCAGCCATATGGAGAGGCGTGCAGCCGACAGTATCTTTAGCGTTCAGCGTGGCATTGTACTCCAACAGTCGCCTGCTCATGAAGAAGGGTAGGACACAGGGTATGGAAGGGTCGTTGAACAAGAAGTTCTCCCCGAAATATTCCATTAAACACTACTCATGCTCTTCGAAAGAGTTGTGTTGACTCTTTGTCTGCCGGAGGGGGCTCTTGCGAGCACGACAAAGACGGACACAGTTGCATGGGTATCTGCACCTCCTACACGTATGTGCTCCTAAGTCTCGTCTCTCCCTCTGGCATCCATCAAGCTGTTGCAGTCTCGCCTGCAAGAGCTTCTTGGTGGTATACTACTATAGCATTGAAAACGTTATCCACGACCCCATGAATTTATGCAAGGCTAACATACATGCATGGCCACCGGTGCCTTTCGGCGAACCCAACCGACACACGATGAAGGCGATTCGAATTTTGATCAGCACTTGGGTTTCCCAGCACCTTACAGAGCAAGCCCGGAGGGTGCAGGCGGTCTGACCTTTCCGTGCTCTGCGTCGAGATACATCCCCACCCAGACCACTCCACCACATGGGATACCCGCCAAGTAGTCCTGCCAGGAACAAGACAGTGCTCCCCATGATCTAAAGGCTTAGGGCGAGAACTACCCCGGGCCCCTCTGGGACGGACAGTTTCCTCAACAGGGTAAAACTCGCCTGCAGGCCTCGACATTCCCATGCTTGGCGGCATGGTGCAGCGCCGTCCGCCCCATGAGATCCTTTGCGTCGACCTCGGCCTTCCTTGATATCAAGGCATCCACCACCTGCCCCATTCCCATTGATCGGACACGAAGGGTAACGAAAGCTGTGCTGGTACGGTCGCGGTGTGCAAAGTAGCGCTGCCGCCCGCTTACTCTGGACTTCACTGTCGGCCTAACTCGCTTTTTCTTGCTCCAAAGATGTGCGGGTTGACTCTATTTTCCAAGCATAGATGTTGGTTTTCGTCACTCGGGGGGTAGTGACAAATGGGTTTTGATTGGGAGGGAAGGATCCTTCTCTGGGTACGCACCACCTGCCTCGTATTCGGATGTTGATGTTGTGTTGTTGTGTTAGTGATATATCAGGATAGAAACACTGTGGGGGGGGGGCTCAGTGGTTGCTTGCCTTGCTGGGAAGTTCGAAAGGTATGAAAACGTCTCAACCAAGGTACTTGATGGCCTAGCCAACCTTCTTATCCATTCGCATCTGGAACTCACTCTGCCGCCGCAGAGATTGATGGATGCAAGCGAGTGTTATCCTATGTCAACCATCCGTTGCAGCCACCAGAGCTGACCGCGGCATAAAGTGAGTGCGCTTCCGCAGCAGCGATGCCGACGTCTCCGCGTTTGCCCCCATATCGTTATTCCGTTTACCTCTGAGAGCCCTCAGTTTCTTGCCCTACGTGTACGGGGGAATCACGCCACAGCTGCGTGTAGCTTCCCAGAAGATCGACTACAGTTTATCGTTGGGAGGAGGTACCTCACCTCGCAATGACCCCTCGCAGCCGCCAGAGCTAGCGGCAGGCTGACGGCCCCGCGTGGCAAGTGCAGGGCCCCGGCGTCGGGAGGCTGGCCCGCAGAGAGATAAAGCTCCACCTCGAACAAGAGCCCTGACTCACAACACTGGGAACGATTATTGCAGGGGGTAGGTGTTCTCGTCGTCAGAAATAGAGGGACGGGGGGACGGGGGGAGGGGGGGGGAGGACTTATTGTGGGGGGTAGTTGAGTCGGGTTTACCGTGAAGCACTGCTACGATGCGGTAACTCATCATGCACACCTGCCAAAAGTCCAGAAGCCTCGGCCGCACCAAATCGGCGCCCGTGCTCCCTTCTCCCCTTCGCAGGCGCTGGGCGTACCCTTCCATCCTGCGCGTCGAAATTCCTCTGTCGCGCAACACCTCTAGCAGGACAGCCCCGTCCAGCCCGGTGCTAATAGATTAGCACGGAGTCGGTGACAAGATAATGAATGTGGCTCCGTGGTTAACCAGCTAGCATCGCCCACATCGTGTAACCTTCTTCGTGCGGAACGACTTTGGAGTAGAGCGGAAAGGGATTCCGTACACTTGGGCAAGTTACCCTTGGGTGTAACGGGGGAAATCTGTCCCCAAGCGGCGAAACTAAGCCAACCACAAAGATTTTTTCCAGGACATTGATGTTGCAGACATGCTAGGGATAGCGCAGGGGGACGTCCTTGGAAGGTAGAATGGCCACAGGTACGCGAAGGCTTGTCGTAAGGGATCGGAAGAGTCAGCAAAGAAAGCACACCTGAGGCTGTGGTCGATCCAAGCTCGCCATTCCGGCCTAAGGTCCGCCCCGCCTTCTACCGTGGGTCCTCCGTTTGGGTGAGCTTCAATCAACCTGTCCAGAGCACAAATAGTGCTTAGCTCGGGAGAAATTACGCTTGAAATACTTCGCAGAAAAACACGCCCACGTTAATTAGTGAGAACCGCATGATGCAGAACAACAACAGTCGGGACAAAGCTGTAAAGAGGTACCCAGACGGCCAAATTGGCAGGACATTGGGTTGCATCGTCACTAGCCAATGCCCTTGTGTCGGCGTGCATCATTTCTGGTTCGACGATGTAAACAGTTGCAACTCGGACATGGCTGTCGCTACTGCTAGTGGCCGTGCTGCATTCGGCGGATACCGCGTGTGTCATTCGGTGCAACCTACAAAGAGTGTACCTAATGATATTCTGTTCGGTAGAACACCTGCGTCGGAGTGCCATTTCCAATCAGTGCGGAAAAAGTACAACAGAGCTCGTGACATGAGCTCTACGAAGGGTTTGATCTTACCGGTCCAGTCCGCCAGTCGCCAACGCCCATTGCATCACTTCCGGGTTGGCAAACGGTGCGAAGCCCTTCGCACGCAGCTGCGCCAGCAGGCGGTTGAGCTCGACGCCTTTCCTGGCGTTATCCTTGAGCCATCTGTGCAGGGTACCACAGGAACAATTAACTTCTAGTTTGAAAGCTTAGCCTCAACACGGCAGTGGTGTGCACAGCAGCGGAGTGGAACAACACTTCTCCAGGCGCCTTGCGGGCTTCCAAGGTTTAGCCTTACTTGTCCTAAGGTAAGAGGAGAATGCAAGCGGGTTTAGTCCGTGCTACATTCTAGCTTGCCAACCGCCCGTCTCAGGTGAGACGGAGCGTTGCTGCAATCCCGACGTAATCCGCTTCCAACCTTTCGGGTGGCCATAGTAGGATACCGTTTATCGAGTGTTTCTTGTAGAGAGAGAGGATGAACCCTGCCCCAGCACATGTACTGATCACAACGTAGTTGAGTGAGATACCTTCCTGGCATACCACGGAAGGCGACACTAGGGCACCAATCGAACCGAACTCCCCCCCGCTCCTGATCCATGGAGGCTTCCCTCTTTTGACTCCGTCCGGACCAGGAATCAGAGGCGTATGACCAAGTTTGTGGGTGCGGCGCCCCCCCCCGGTACTACAAACCGACCGTATCTGTAAGGTCGGGTTCGTGAATGATATGGCGTGCTACGCCATTTCCTCCGACCGACATTTTCCATATTCCAAGGGTATTGGGCGGAACATACTGCTGTATGCTAGGGCAACTTGGAAGCTTGTACCATAACCGTTCAAGTCGAGAATGCGTGAAAAATACTAAGCGCTAGACCTACCGTTTGTTCCCTCGTAAGACAGAGGACACACTGGAAATGCCAACGGCAATCCAAACCTCTACCTCCTCTTACCGCTCCCAAGCCCTGGGGATAACCCCCTGTTCCACGTCTAGTCCGGGCATCATGTCTCGCAGCTTCTTTAGCGCAGTTTCCGCGGCGTTCATTCTCCCCTCTCGGGTGCTCTTTCCGATGCCTTGGAACCGTCGCAGCCCGATTGTCCTCGTGATACCACCATCGGACGATGGCTCCATCCACTCGCCCTCAAGCCGGACCTGATTTCGTTACACAAGGAAATGCACGTTGCCCAGAAGGGCAATTATGGAGGACACCTGGTGCGTAGGACTTTGTGCCTTTTCGAAGCGTTAGTCGCTGAAAGAGAGAAAACAACACGATCAACTCTGAATGACAAGATCGGTGGCAAACTGCCGTACCTTCTTTCCATCGGCTGGGGAATTTCCACGCACTTGACGGCTTCAAAACTGCCCCAATTTGTGCGCCACGACACCTTCGGTTGGTGTTGTTCATGTTATTTGTTTTGTCGTCGTTGTCGTTGTTCTTGGTTTAGATATTGGCGTAGTTGATGCTACGATTTGCTGCTGCTGTGAGTGTGAGTTTCTCCACTCTGTCATTCGTGTATCTTACTGATTGGCTGCTGGTTATTTTGCCGTGGTAGTATGAAGGACCTCTGTTGTTGCTACGTTGCTGCTGCTGGTCTTGTTGCTGTCTCCTCTATACCCACACGAGTTTGGTGGTAGCATACCATCATCGCCATGAAAGACGGTGTAAGCTTGGTCCGTCCTCACCTCCATGACGACGTGCTTGTCGGGGCACATCGCCGTCGCAGGCCTCTCCTCCACAATATCGTAGGAAACCTTGAGGTGGCGTTGCAGGCACTGCTCTTCTAGAACACCGATCGAGGTCGTGTTGAGCGTCTCCGTGAGTACCGCAAATCCTTTCAGTTTAGAATCGCCGGCCCTGCCACATGATCACACGGCAACAGGCATCGTATGGTTGCCAATGCTGACGCCCTGTGACTGCCAAACACGTTGGGCATGACAGCCGACATGGTGTATTGGTCTAGAGGACGTCAGAACTATCGTTTTCTCTCTGGGATCAAACCACAAAACGGGCTCCATGTTAGGTTGGACATGCGTGAGAGAGGACCGCGAGCCCGTCCACCGCGTCACTCCCACTTCTCGCTAAATAGGTGCACAAGAGCCTTGACTGGCACAGGGAATTCGGCTAGTGCAAGGCACAGAAAACGCAAACAAATTCCATCCTAGACACCCCACGCGTGAGTTGATACCCGCCAGCTGTCGCTTCCTGGTCTAGAGCCTACCTTGGTGATGGAGGATAGAAATGCTTTCTAATCGACGGAAAATATATACCAGATTCTGCCGCAGCCTGCTTGATCGTCGTAATCAAGACGCCGGATAAAATCAGATGTTCTTCACCTCATTCTGCTCGCTTGGTCTTCGCGAAGAAAGTATGGTCATACCAGTCATTTTGAGGATGGCTGCTGCTTACTTGATCCTAGCGATGAAGGCGCAGAACTCTTGGAAATCGATCAGGCCGCTCTTGTCGCCATCCAGCTCTTCGAGCAGTTTCCTGGCGCTTGTTTCATCGTATTCCATCTGAGAAAATAGGACCGCAACCAACACGTCAAAATCTGCAGGGAAATCGGAAACTCCGGCATGTTGGGAGATCGTCGCGGCTGCTACACAGCATACCACACAAAACATCCCCGGTTGAGTATTTCAGTTCCGGGGATTGTTTCGTTCTGACTCATGGTCTTTTTCGATCTGGGCGTCTCCACTCCACAACAGGCTACCACAAGCTGGAGCATCTACAAGCAAGCACGTTGCCACAGCATCCATCGGTTATGGGCGGCGATCGTTTCCATGCACGCACTTATCCTTTACTTGTACAATCACAGACGAAGATTTGGAAAGAGAAAATACGGTATCAGAAAGGTCACGTGGAGGAGGACATAAAAATGTGGAGTTTCGTATCTTTCGCGACTTGAAAAACGTGGGGCGCTGCCCCACTCTATGCAAAAGCGCCCTTCTTCGAGGTACGCCGTCCTCGAAGGGAGACACGGATCCTCACGTCGCTCTCCAACATGAGTCTGGATATCTCCGGGATATCGAGCTCGCCGCTGCCGTCATTGTCGTACTTGTCGAACAAGTGGGCAATCTGTGTATGTTACGGGTTGCCAAGCAAGTAGGGGTCAATGAAGAGGGCCCGAGATTAGTGTTCGATCCATTTTGGCTCTTTTATGTACGCTGTTGCCGATATCGCTGTACTCGCCGAACCATTTGACAATCTCCTCGATTTGAGTGCGGACGAAGGATAACAAAAGCAAGGATACGAGAGGGGGTCGGAGTAGATGAGAGAACAGATATGGAAACTACATACTGCAGGGTGGGTGCAGATGTGCTGGACATATGACTAGTCTACTGTAGTCTGTCGAACAGCTTGTAGCACTGCGGCGAACTTTTCCCTCCTCTGCTTCGCAAGATATACGGACGGAAACCAGAGGTGGACTGACTGAAAAATTGAAAATACCACGCGCGTGCGGGTCCTTTTGCAACCCTCGGCCTCGTCGTCTGTAAACGTCTGTCTGTAGTATGCAGAAGAACGCCGAGTTTTCAACAAGGTGCATCTTCATCTTTTTCAGTGTGTGCACGTGTTGATCACTCTCTTTTCCGTGTTCAAATTTTCCCCGACGTCCGTTCACTGCTGTGTGGCGTGACTGCATGCACAACAGCGCCTAGGTCTATTACTTACCAGCGATTTGCCCTTGTACTGTCTGTTTTTTCGCCGGATGGATGCGCCGACATTTATTTCTACGTACAGCATCAGTAGTAGTCCCTTGGTCTCCTTTGCAAAGTGTAAGAAAAAGTCACCATTTCTACTCCAAGGTTTATCCACCTCTTCGAACTCCATGGGCGTGAACGCGTTCAGGAACTCTTCGGGGCACACATGCTTCCCGACCTTCATGTGGCCGGTGCTGCTGGTCGTTACATCGTCGTCAGATGCGGCAGACGTTGCGGTGGTTGTAGTTTCCATGGCTACGTCGTGCAGGGCTGAGCCGTGCACGTCGAGGCGACGCTCACAGGGAAGCAAGGGCGGCGGGCACACGCTCTACGTAAGAGAGAAGCACACCATAACGTCGCGCGATCTCTCTCTCCCCATCTTGTGCCCCATGCACGGGGCATGAACATCATTATGACCGTTTTGGTTCTGAACTCAGGCGAACCAAAACGCCTCCTCTTTGGCGGAGTTGCTTTGCTTTCGAGGACAAACAAACACACACAAGTGCACAACAATGCCTCGGTCGCAGGCACTAGCACCATGCCTGGCTCTTCTGCTGGGGAGGGCGGTGGTGCTGGAGGGTTTTTTCCCGGCACCAAGCTTGATCCCAGCTCACCATAACGCGGTGTCGAGGCATCGTCATCATAGTGCAACCTCTTTGCACGAACATCCGCATCGTCGAACACGTACGCGTTCAACCGCCGATCATGATGACAGATTCGCAAAGACGACAACCGCTACGCTTTCGATGGCACGGCCATCCCCGGGAGGGAATGCGAGCGGCGCCAGAAGCTGGATGGCAACCTTGCTGTGTGCGGCGGCGTTGTTTTCTGGGCCTGACGTAGGTCAGATGGAAGCGCAGCAGGGCCTGCCTTCTCTGCTGCGACCTTCGCTAGCTTCGGCTCTGTCAGAAGAACAGGTGTGATGACCAAAGTCAACTGCCGCGCGCAACAAAAGGCGGGCCAAGCTCGCAAGCACTTCGACTCCCCCTAGTATACCAGTTATAGAGTTGTGGCCGGTTGGTATCTGCTGGAAACATGTGTGCCGTGTGATATGGGACTTTGGAGTGAAGTTGTCATCTCCTGGGTGGGCATCGATGATGCGGCGCAATTCAACCCCCGATTTCGTCACTGCGAGCAGGTCGCAAGACCGAGCGGCGAGGTGTCCAGCAACCTCATGGTAGATTGCTTGTCCCGAGTCCGGGCTTTTCGTTAAGAGTGCTACTCGCCTTATAGATTCCCATAGACGTTTGTCTTTTCTGTTGCGCCCAGACGCAAGGAGGAAAATCGGGAGCTACAAGTCAGGTAAAGTCGACACTTCTTCTACATACGAGAGCGTTCGTATCCAAATGCGGCGGAATCGCCACCCGAGCAGTGACGCGGCCGCCGATCAAGTAGAGAGACAGATCATCCGCATCCACACCGCAAGTTAACTTGTTAACAGGTACAGCCGGAAACGTTGCTCCTGCACCAGGGCTGGCTCCGCCGTACAAGCACGACTCTCCTGCGCATGACGGGTCGTTGGCTCTCAATGTCGACATTTCGTCATAGGCACCCGCCACACCAACGTATCCATAGCACAAGATTTTGGAACCCAACTGAACTTCTCTTTCCTCTCTCTGTCTCTCTCTCTGTCTCTCTCTCTCTCTCTCTCTCGCTGTTGTGTGGTTCATAAATTTGACGAGTATCAAAACCGGCTGACGACTGAAAAGATGGCTATCATTAACCTCTGTGTACCATGCCTAACAGCGCTCACCGTTGCCGAACATCCCGCCCCTCCGCCCTCTCCCCCCCCTGTCTCTGTGCACACAGGACGTCGTTAATGACGTCTGGCGCGTGGTCAACGCAGCCTACGTGGACCCAACGTTCAACGGCCAAGACTGGAAGGCAATCAGGCTGAAGGTACCGACCGTTGCCCCCTGACTCAACCTTTCTCCTCAAGCCCATACGTACCATAGGCGACATTCACACCCCGGGACCGATTTTCAAAGCTCGATTTCTCCCTGAGCACAAAAAGTGGCAGCGCCGAAAACGGCGGCATTGAAGCCGCCTCGCCGAGAGCTGTCCGAAAATGTATCGTGTCATTTATGCACCCTCTTCGTCGTGGTGAGCAGTCGATATTTCAAAATGGGGGTGTACTCATAGTCGAGCATGCCGTCGTCGTTAGACCAGTGACCTCGCATCCGTACAAAGCCGGGACGGAGCACGCCGGGTTCTCACCGGACCAGGGTATCTCTCACATCACCAAGCGCGAAGCGCCGTGAGGTATTCGGCGAGTCGCATGAAGGGTGCGCTGCATCCTGCTAAGGGTGATCGGCATCTTGTGCTTACTTCCTTGCGTACGGATGACAGCTGCGTATGGCTTAGTTTATTTTCTGGTGCTTTCACTTCCAGAGACAGTTGTAAGCACTGTTAGCCCTGCGCCTGACCCTGTTTTTGGGCCAATTTTCTGTCCAGCGGATGTTCTTTCGAACAGCCCATTCTTCTGAAATTTTTGTTTCGTGGCCAATCAATCCTCACATTTTTGGCGGCCACGTCAGTTCAACAGGTGAAAAAACTGCACAATCGGCTTTGGTGTGTCTTGTTTTTTTTTTAGTTGACGACGAAATGGGATTGCTGCAGCCGTCCCCGTTCCCACCCGGCTGTGGGGCCGCAAGGACATTGCGTAGAGAACAGAACAGTCACCGCTACTCATGCCACAAGAACGGTCGTAATAGCTGCAGTAGCACCGGTGGTAGAGCCGTTGCGCGCTGGCACAAATTTCAGAGATGAGCGGATGAGCGGAAAAAAATACACCAGATCAGCGAGAGCAGGTAGGTCTGATTTTACAACATTACAGCAACTGAAGCCGCCGCCGCCCTTCCCGCCCCTCCAAGGGGTTGAAGAGACACTGGGAGGAAAGAAGGGAAGCCGCTGCTACTCATAGTGCAACAACGGCAGGAAGAGCTGCAGAGTAGCGTCGGTGGTGGAGTCAAGCAATGTCGCCCAAAAGTCAGTTGAACGACGCGTCACACACGCACACGGAAGAGGCAGCGATCTCACCCTACATCACTTCACACCCAAACGGGTATGCAACGACCACCCCCGTCACTGCCCGTCTATGGGGCTCAACAGACATTGCAAGGAAAGTAAGAAAACCGCTGCTACTCGTGGTGCAGGGACGGTGGCAACAGCTGCAGTAGCGCCGGTGACAGTGCCGTTGCGCCAGTGCAAACTTTGGAGATGATGAGCGGAAAAACAAACACCGACCAAAAAGAAGGGCAGGTGGACTGATTTTTACACCATGGTACAAAAAGGAGCTGAGGCCGCCGCTGCCCTACCCACCCCTTCAAGGGGTTGAAGCGACACTGCGACGAAAGCAGGGAAACCACTGCTACTAATGGCGAAGCAACGGCAGGAAGAGCTGCAGTGCAGCGCCGGTGGTGGATCAAGCAATGTTGCCCAAAAGTCAGATCATGAGCAAAAAAAAAACGCACGAAAAAATCAATCCCACACATCAATGTGAGCTTTTTCCAACGTCGCGCCTGCTTCGCCCCCGTTCCCAAATCCCAGACAGACCACCCCCTCGCACCCTCCCCCCTAGCATTGCTCCCTCCAGAGCTCGCTTCCTAGATGATCGCCCCGCAGGCGGCAGTGGACCTCCGCGCCCTTGATCCGCCCGTCAACACATAATCGGCTGGTTGTGTGGTCACCACATTTTTTTTTTGCTTGACAGGCGGGGACTTTTTCTGGACTTTTGGACCCGTGCGTCACCCCAAAACTACCCCATTTTAGGATTCGTACTGAGAGACGTCCGTAGAGCGGACTCTGGAGCGGTTCCGTGAGAACGGTAGCTATGTTTTTGTCGGTGGCGATTTTCGCAAAAGCTCCACACCCTTGCGGCCGCTGTGAATTTGGCCGAAAAATACTTGATTTTTAAGGGTTTGATGGGATACAACCCGCCGATTGAAAACCTGACCGACAATAACACGCATATGTCCTGTTCACAGGCATGTACTAAACCGCAAGAGCCAGTTCGTTTGTGGCATCGAGAATTCCACGTTCTCCTCTCGCTGTTTAATATCAAGTCAAAACAAGGTTTGGCGTCGTCAACCGGACGAGCGGAAGAACTTTGTTTTGGCCAGAGAAAGCCGAATAGCCGTGCCACGCGCATACAACATTTTGGGGGGTCAGGCGCAGGGCAACCTGTGTAACTGCCTCGAGGGCGCTTGACCAATTTAACACAACGTGCGATTATCCCCTTGCGCGGAGCGAGGGTTCTCGACCCCGCACAACATGATCTACTCGACCACCATTTATGGTCACCGCAAAAAATAAAAAAACCAAAGGCAAAGAAAACCCGGTAACCTGGTTGCCGAGCTCACGAAGTGATCGGCTTGTTTTACAACACCGCTGCCAAGCGACGAAAACCCAACCCCGATGGCAAGCACCAGGGGGGGCGGAATGGGTCCAGGGGGTGTGGTATCTTGCGTCAACTACGGTTGTCACTTGAGTAGCCAGCTCACTCTGCGTGCCGGCACACGTGTAACATATTTTCTTGAGGCGGTTGCCCTGCCCCGCGAGGGTGTTCACGGGATCTCTTCTCAATCGATGGCACGCCTCCCTTTTTTGGACGGACTACAGAACGAAGGGCAGATGCCTTTGTTGGGCTGAACGCAGATCAACAAACCTTACCCATTGTGATTTGTATTTGTGTTGTTTGCGCCTGTGTGCGCGCACACACGTGCTCGATTTCCTTCTTTTTCATTTGCCGCTCTGATAGCGTGGCGTAGAGCCGAGATGGGAGGGGGTCCATAGACAGTATTTCTCGTCCTGGAGACCCGTCGACGGTATCTCACCCCTCTCCTGATTCTTGGGTTCAGTTCTTGTGGAATGGAACTGTTTCCAGCAGCAACAGCAGCAACAGCAATGGGTCCACCTCTTCATCTTGTCGCGAATCGCTACTGTAGCATTCCCAATATTCATGTGGATATAATAATACAGTTTTGTTGTTTTTCTTCGCGAGTGGTTGGACGGTGCTCTAAACCGTTCTTGTTGTGCCCCCTCCGGTAGGACTAGTTTCATTGCGCAGGCAAGTCGTAGTTCTGCCTTTGAAGAGTAGGGATGAAGAGAAATTGACCAGAGGCCAGAGAACAAATGGTAAGGTGAGGACGGCCACGACGGTAGCAACAACGGGCCAGCACAACAGCCTCAGGAGACAACGTGGTTGACGATTTGCGTTTTCCCTCGATCTTGTTATTGTAACGCGTTCACACCATAGGTCCTGAAACAAGTGCAAGACCGCCGCGGGAAAGAGGAGGCGTACTCCGCCGTGAAGGGCATGCTCAAAGGCCTCGGGGATCCCTACACGCGCTTTCTGACGCCGCAGGTAGTGGTGGTGGTTGTTGTTGTTGTTGTTGTTGCTGCTGCTGCTGCTGCTGCTACAGCTTCTGAGTTGTTGTCGTCGTCGTCGTCATTGTTGCTGGCTGCGGCTGTTGTCGTTGTTGCTGATGCTGTTAGTCTTCTAGGCTGTTCCTCTGCTTCTTGTTGGGTCACATCCTATCGCGCGACCGCCACCTTGTTCATATCCAGGGCTCCCTCCCTGCCGCCTTGCCACTTCTCCAACACCCCGCCCTCCACAGGAATACGACGCAGTCACCGGTCTCGCTCGCGGAGGCGTGGCTGGGGTGGGGTTGGAGCTTGCCTCATCCCCGGCTTCATCAGGCAACCCCCTCTCGGTGATAGTGGCGGGGGTGGTAGGCGGGTCTCCCGCAGAGAAGGCTGGGGTTCTGACGGGCGACGTTCTATCGGCGGTGGATGGAGAGGAGGTGTGTGGGAGGGCGAAGTTGTTCTTGTTCCGATGGGGGGTTTGGAGGCCTACCTTTCGCTTGTGTCTGCCTGGCAGCACGTGTTTGCGGTGTCCCCGCGCGTGTGTTTTTTTGTTGTCGCTCGGACGGGCTCCCTCCCGGGGCGTCTTGCACAGAAAAGAAGCGACTCAGTTTCCTTCGAGCGAGTGAGAAACACGGGCAAGACCACAAGAACTGCGCGCGTCATGCCCACCATACCTATATGATCCACGTAGCCCCCAGGAAGCCCCGGAGATCGGTTTACTCTGCCGAGCACCCCCCACCTCACGCGCGGTTTCCTATCTGCCAAGAGAGAGAACGAGTAAAGGTAAACCGTCTATGGAGAGGGGGAACTCGGAAGGTCTTTGAGGTTCTACCACCCACGTCAGCCATCGCACGAATGATTGACGTTAAACAGAAGAGAGAGCGGGATACAGAAAGAGAAACACACACATATACCGAGAGAAAGGTGGAGAGAAACATGTACACAGAGAGGTAGAGCGAGAGACAAACCTAAATGCAGTGAAGAGAGAAAGGATATATTTTTAGAGACCGAGGGGGGAGAGAGAGAGAGAGAGAGAGAGAGAGAGAGAGAGAGAGAGAGAGAGAGAGAGAGAGAGAGAGAGAGAGAACAGACAGACAGACAGAGAGCCCACGAGCGCTCGTTGCTGCACACCCTGGCAGGCTTCGGGCACAGACCTGGACACGGTCGCTGGGATGCTGAGGGGGGACCCGGGTTCGGGGGTACGGCTGGACGTTCGGAGGGGGGGGAAGACGTTCGCCTTCCCTCTCACGCGGGCACAGTTTAAGGTGACTATGCATCGCTTTTGGTAATTTTTGGGATTTACGGTGCGATGAGTGTATTGTTCTTGGAGGTGACTAGTTGTTGATACTTTTGGGATTTGAGGTGCGCGCTCTTCCTCGACGCAGGTAGTATATTAGTGAGAATAATCTAACCTACCCATTGAGATAGTTGTAGGCGATGCATGAACGCGGGGAGGAGCAAGCCGGTGTTTTTTGCCTCTCACCGTCGAGAACGTGACAGTAGTGCTAAGCTGGCATGGTCGCATCGTTGGGTACAGGTGCAATGTTTTTCACGTGTCCAACACACCAACCGCAGAGTGTCGACGAATCATCCATCGCTCGGGAGAAAATAATTACCGGCTACAGTCTAGGAGACGGTGGGGATAATCTACAACCATTATCTTCCTTCCGCTTTTCTCTCAAAAAAACGGCGTTATGTTATGCATGTTTCGCATGGTAGGGAGAGGCGATTATTACTCTCTTTGCATATATCCGTACTTTCTCCTTCATTGTCTATTGGTCAAGGCGAGACCGCTACTACGAAGACCGTTCCGCAGGGCTTAAACGCCGAGGGTGGCTCCACAAGTAGTAGCGTCAAACAGCAGGTTTTGTAGTCCGTTCGTCCCCAAGGAGTGTGCGCTCTTCGTGGCCCGCTAAGACGGAGCCCAAAGCGAGTTGTCCCCCCCACGTCCTCATTACGCTAAGGCAAGATATTAACCCACGCTTTGCTTTTTTGTTTTTTCTGGCACGTTGGTAACTGGCAGTACCAAGGGGTGAGGTCGGAGGTCCGCAGTAACGGGGGCCAGAAGGTCGGCATCGTCTCGATCAAGGTGTTCTCCAAGGATACCTTTGAGGACGTCAGGTGAAGAACCTGTTGGTCTATGCTGCCGCTGCTGTTGCTGCTGCTGTTGTTGTTGTTGCTGCTGCTGCTGCTGCTGCTGCTGTTGTAGCAGCCAACGCGGGCTATTTTGTGAAGCTGGTAGTATTTGTAGCTGCTGCTGCTGCTGCTGCAGCTGCTGCTTTTGTAGCAGCCAATGCGGTTCGGTAAGGCTGCATAGGCCTAGTGAGAGAGAGCTGAAAGTGTGGCGATGTCAGAGGCCTGACCAACGCCCCGATTGTTTGTGAAACCGAGTCAAGACGCACTGGAATTGCTTGCAGCAGCGGGAGCAGCGGCGGTGGCGTAGTGGCAAGGGCAACTACCTGTAGCAACCCTGACGACGCCAACAACAACAACCTCCCCATCCTCTCCTTCCCATTGCCTGTTTTCGCTCAGTCTCTTGATGAACGCCTTGATGAACGATCCCCCGCCCCCAACAGAGCACGGCGAGCTCGCATCAGTAGCCGAGCCCCATCCTCTGCGTGTCTCCGTAAAAGTGCAAAGACGCGCCTCCCGTTTCCCCGCTCATCGGCTGGTTGCTTCCCTCCATTTTTTGTTCTCGGCAACTGTCTCGTTTCGATCAGAGCGGCCGTGGATCGGACGATCGATGAGGGAGCGCAGTCTATCGTATTGGATCTGCGGCACAACCCGGGAGGCTTTTTCCCGGGGGGGATAGACGTTGCCAGGTACGGAAGCTAGCTCACGGTAGCCCTGCTGCCCCATGTATTGACGTCTCTACCTGGGCGAGCACACAACTAGGGGTTGTGGATCGTGCGAAGTGTGTGTGTGCTATCGTCACATATTGTTGTTGTTGCTATGATTTTGCTGTCGTTGTGGTCGTCGTCGTGGCTGTTGCTGTGGGTGTTGTTGCTACCGCTTTCGTTGCTGTGTTTTTTGTTGCCGTACGAACGATCCTCTGGGTTGAAATTCTTGTTGATGTCGCCAGGAGGGACAGCTTGTAGCCGCCGTAAAGTGCTCGTTGATTGATAGGACTGGATACGAAACTCTAGCCGTCGACGCGCTTGCAGTGAACGGTTGTCGCTGCCCCTGAATCACACCAAAGCGTGTCGGCGGTAGTTGCTCTCGAAGTCTACTTGTTCGAGCCACGAGTCTTCGCCGGTGTTGGTTTTCCCCCGCAGTGCAATACTCCGGAGTATAATGATATATCTCCCCGCAGTGCAAAAGTACATCTCCCCTCAGCACAAGAACCTGCATCCCCGCAAGACAAGGTTATGTCTCCCGGCAGAAGAAGGGTATATCCCCCCGCAACACAAGGATGTATACTGTATCCCCGCAGTACAAGGATGCGGGTGTGCTCCTGGCGGTGGATCATTCTTTGTTTTTTGTTCTGTTTGGTGCTACTCGAACGCGTTTCACTCTTCGTTGTTTTGGCATGCCACGCACGCGAGCAGGCTCTTCCTGTCGTCGGACGAGACCATCGTCTCCGTGGTAGACCGCAACGGCATCTCCGACACCTACGGCGCCATCGCCACGGGAAAGTTCTCGAAGATTCCTCTGGTGAGAGTCGGCGAAGGCTTAAAGTGCAGGCTTAGTAAAGGGCACAGAATGGTTGTTGTTGTTGTTGTCTGCGTAGACGTCGGTAACTGCTGCAGGCATGATGGAAAGCGTTACCTCGTCGATCGCCAATAGGTTTTGCTCGGGTCTCAGTTATCTCCACGAAAATGTGCTTGGTTGGGCACTTGTGAGGTGAAATCCGTCTGCCTTTCGAGCCACGGAAAAAGGTCAAATCAGATATAGAAGTTGATCTTATCAGCCAAGAACAATTCCTCGAGTAGCAAAGCTTTTTCGTCGTATCAGCCCTAGAATGATGTTGTATCAGCCATATAAGTTTGTCGTATGGGCCAAGAACAGCTCCTCGACTGCTTGCGTTACATTTTTATTGATGCTGCTCCGTGTAAGGAAAATTACGGTGGCTCGCCGCACTACCCAGCTCTCTGTTGGTGTGCACGGGCGCGTGCCCAATAATTCTTCGTCCGAGGATGTCTAATTTTCATGAATTTTTTTGGGGGCGACGGAAACGCGCAAGTTGGCGACGCTCGCCGATTGGCTGATGGTAAGAACGCATTCACGATGCGGACTGATGTCTATCACTATCTTGGATGGCGTTTCTCCTCGTGCAGGTTCTGGTTGTTGACGAGAAGACCGCTAGCGCGTCCGAGATTTTGTCTGCGGCTCTCAAGGACAACGGCAGGGCGAAGCTCGCCGGCCACAAGACCTTCGGGAAAGCTAAGGTTTTGTTTGTTCTTGTCATCGTTGCTGTTGTTGTTGCTGCTGCTGCTGCTGCTTCTGCTGCTGTTGTCGTTGCTGTTTTTTCTATTGCTGTTGTTATTATTGTCGTTTTGGATAAGAACGCAGGCACGTATGCACGCGCCCGTAGATCTTGTGCCATCCATTTACTTCTACATACGTACATGTGCTTTGCGCGGAGACGGTGGTGCAACGTGCTCCCCGCCTTTTTGCCTAACAACAAGCCTGAGGTGTCCATTCGCCGTCATGGATGCAGAATGGGGTCTAGTGGAATTCGACTCTGGATACGGGTTTACAAGACCGTTTTATTTTGTCTTGTGCGCTGATGTCTGTTCTTCCTCATCACGGTTCGCCGTGCTAACGGTTAAGGTTGGTTGGCCCGTCACTTGATTCGTTCGGCTTCTTTCTCATTCATGCACACCGATGTGGTCGGTTTGCCGGTGGGTGGCACCGCGGCGGCGGCTGCTGCTGCTGCAATCATTCCTGCGCAATCTTGGAGCAGGTGCAGACCCTGAACCAGATCTTCGACGGCAGCGGCGTGGCTGTCACCATCAGCCTCTACAAGACTCCTTCGGTAAGCGGTTGTTGTTGTTGTTGTTGCTGTTGTTGTGGTGGTTGTTGTTGCTACTGTTGTTGCTCTTGTTGTCCCCGAAACTGTGCACAAACACCCTGGGCTTGCCGAAAGCTTGGGCATGAGAACCCGGGAGCTTGAAGACATGAGTGATTCGGAGTACGTCAGTGGTTATTTTGCAATAATGGTGTCTCGCAGCAGCGGAGCAGACCGAGCCAAATCATAATTGGTTGGCAATTCGAAGGCTTGCATTCCTGGTGCGTGCAACAAGGAGGGCGAGGGTGTATTTTGCCGGACACGAGGTCGGACGGCAGCGGCATGGTCGCCGCCATCGATGAATCCTATCCCTCGCCCCTTGCACAGCACTGTTCTCAACTGTGGGCAACTCTGACCTCCTGTTGACGTACGTGAGGTCGTGGGTGATGCTGGGCAACTCCCATATCATGCAATATATTCTAACAATTCCCCCCGTCCCTTTCGCATTCTGGCTATCCCGCCCTTGAGTCAAGTTCACCGCCTAACCTCTGCTCTGCTCGGTGTTTCCCTATGTGATTGTTGAAAAAACGCGCAGGGTATTGATATCAACGGGAAGGGTATTCCGGTGGACTACCCCAGCGAGTGCCCCTACCCCGGGGATGCTTTGGCTTGCGTCCCCCCAAATGCTTTGCGCTGATGGGGGTTTCCTGTGAAGATCGCTACTACAACGCTCTCGCTCTTCAACACGGATGGCACGGTTTCGAGCAGTTTCAAACTGTTTCACGAGATCGAAAAAGTTGACGGTCATCTGTTTTGTTTTCGTTCGGAAGAAAACTGAGATTGATTGGTGTGATAGTCACGCGGTTGCGCACCGGGAGACTTGGGGCATGCCTCCAGCCCCTTGATGGCATCGTCTGCTCTCCGTGGTCACCACACGGCATGCCCCGGTTTCCCGGTGGAGAGCGAAGAGTCTTGTTTTGGTCGTGATCTTCGCTCTCATGGAGATGTAACCGTTGGAAAAGGCAGTGAGTAGCCATTGTTTCCAGTACTCTTTCGAGAGTCTTGGGCTGAAGACGGAGAACAAACAGCAGGTAGGTGTGGTTGTTAAAAAGGTGTCGTGCATATTCCAGATATGCAGTGCGCCGCCATCGTCCTATTTGTAAAAAGGTATAAGCTTGGGAAGGTTTCACCCCTGGGACTTCGAGTGGGCGAAAGTGATGGTCCTGCTACGAGAATGTGTGCATGAGCGATTGTTCGTCGTTGATGCTTTCGTCTTTGATATGGCACGGCGTAGAGCTAATAGCGTAACAGAAATTAGGGTTCCTGGGTAACTAGTACACCCAGGACAACACGCGCGACGTGCATGCAAGATTGCCAAGTGGTGCATGCATCACAATTTATAAAGTTAGACTACAGTAGTACTGTTACGGAAACGGAGCCTCGGTTCTCCGCACTAGACTATCTAATCAATTTGCAAGAACATGCGAGGGCGATGAGAAAATTCTTGTCCGCAGGAGGACAACAAGAGACACTTATTTGTAGATTGTTGTTGGCGGTTGTTGTGTGCGGATAGTCGCGCTCGGCACAATACTGTAGCACGAAATCCTGCCAGTGTGATCTTGATTCCGGGATGTGACCTTTTCTCCAGGAGGTTATTGTTACCAAACAACTGTGTGGGCGGGGCGCGTGTGTGTACTTTTTACACGTGTCAGTTTCGAAAAGCCCAAGAGCGGAGAAAATCAGGTAGAACCACGTGTTGTCTCGCCACACAATGACCCAAGTGTTGAAGACGGAAATCGCCAGGGCTCTTGGGAAGGATGCTGCGCGAAGGCTGAGCATATTTCGGGTTTCGCGTTTGTATCCCACAACAGACACCCCACACGAACGAAAGGAACACTACGTGCAACCGACCGTTTTACTTCGCGTGGTCGGTGGAAAAGCTTTTCTACCCGTCTCTACCCGCAAAACATGACGCTGCCTGCTCTCGAGTCACTTCCTGTCCGTCCTTCCGTGGTTATTTTGTCAGGAGTGCGATGCAGTTGTGACGAGATCGCAGCGGTTGGTGCCAGATATTTCCGGTAAATTTCTTGGCGGTGGGCCTTTGGTAGAGAGGCGTACATAAGTTAGAAGCGTAAGTATGTACTTCAGCAATGCACCTGTTGCGCAGGGCGCCGTGTATATAATGTAGGCAGAGAGAAGGCGATGCCTACACGCGGACCGTGCCACAGATACATAAATCAAAATGGGGAGTAGCGGCTCGAAGCGTTGTCCGACGCACACACAGTCTGGGCGGTGCGGCCAAAAAGGATCCACGCCCACACATTGGGCGTTCGTGATCGACATTGGTTGTCTTGACACAACTTGTCCCCGCCAGCTTCTGGCCAGAAACGAATCGATCGATTCTCCACAAATTTCGAGTTGGATAGTGTGCCCGGTCGGGCGAATCCACGGCCCAAGTCAAGCCTGTCTGTCAACAGAGGCGTCCACACACTTTGGGTGTGTGCGTACGGTGCCGCCACACAGGCTAAGCGACAGCCCGCTACATTACCGGTGGAAATCTCCTTCGTCAACGTTACCTGGTTTCCACCTTCCCAAGCTCTAGCTTGGCACAGCAAAACATGTCTCCTCCTACAGAAGCAACAGCATCTGGCATTCTTTGCGGCACCCATCCCGGTCTCCGCTGCTGCGCTTTCAAAATCCGCAACACAGCAAAAAAGGTATGCCCTCCAGGGAAGGGTCTCAAATACACCTGGGCGAGACCGGTTCTTGCAAGACCTAGGCCTCTAACTATTAGACTAAAGCGCTACACTAACGTACCACTGAGAAAGGTCTCACAAGGATCTACGCCAAAATGGCGAGCTCCTGACACAGAGCAACTAGCTCTCTCATCACATAAGCTTCCTCTTTACCACTATATGCGGTATGCTCCACGCCTTCCTACTGTAACGAGAATCAGACCTCGTAGAACACATACAAAACAGGTCTGTTGTTTGACGGATATCGATCGCAAGCTCATGAGAACAAGCTTCCGTCACTGGGGGCGAATAGACATGCCAACAGATAATGCGTACAAGGAGTATCATATTCCCTACGACCGCCGCATGTATAAGTCATCCCCCTTCGTTTACGAACGTCGGTTTCTCGACCGCCGTTCAGCACAGTCGGTCATCGGCCTTGCGAACACCAAACAAGCAGAAAAAAAATGTTTCTACTACAACACTTGCCGCCATTCACAGCTGTGTCTTCCCAAGAGAAAGCGCCGAACACAGTCATGACACAAACGGCAGACACACTAGCGTCTCCAAGAATTACAGTTGCAAGGCGAAAACACCGAAAAAAATGGTACGCAGTGTACTCGCAGTCGAACCCGAGGCCACTAGGTAACCGTCCCCGGGGTGGAGAATAACGCCTCGCTCTAGTTCGAGTGTTTCCACACGAGAAGACCCAACATGATGATGATGAGGACAACGAGAATGCCGATGCACTTGAGCGGTAGCGCCGACTTCTGGTGTTCTTCGGCTCTTTGCAGCTGCGAGACCCCCTCGCGAGTGTGTTCCACCACCTGACGACCAAAAAAAAAATAACACAAGAGAATGAACAAACAAGAAAGAGAAATATCTCGGACGGTAGTCTTTCTGTGAGACTATGTATACTTTCAAGACATACAGCACGCAACGAAATAAAAAAAAAGGCACACGAGAGACGCGAAAGACGCAAACAGAAAACACATCCAGGAAACGGGTTCGGAGTAGTATAAAGATGCCGGTAGCGAAAGGAGGACCGACCGATCAACACAACAGCGGGGAGACAAACTCGCACTTCCTGGTGTGTCGGTTCTTTGAAAATGTAATTCTCGCCTAGCAGCACAAGCATCAAAAGCGACGGCGACAACAACGACAGCATCACCAGCAGAAGCACCACCAATACCAGCAGCAACATGACCAAAAAAACAGCAGGAACAGCGCCAACACCACGTGCGCACCTACATGCAAGAACAGCGACATAAAAAAGAAACAACAACTGCAACAACAATCACAGCAGGAACAGTGCCAACACCACGTGCGCACCTGCATGCAAGAACAGCGACATCAAAAAACAACAGCACCAGCAGTAACAGCAGGAACAACGTCAGTACCTGGTGGAACTAAAAAGAAGCAAGAGCACCCCCACCTGTTCCATGTTGAAGTCAATCCGGTCGAGGATCGTGCCCTGGTCGATAACCAACACCGCCAGCTCCTTAAAGATCGTCGATAGGTCCTCAATACTTTTCACTGTAACGGCAACAAAAACAAACAAACAAAGATACACACGCCAACGAACATAAACAACCATTTTAGGATCCCACCCATCGTCGGCAGGTCCTCCATATCTTTCAACGCAAAACACAAACACCAGACACACAAACCACGATAATTTCAATCGATGCTGCATGTATGATAGATCGCATAATCGTGAGCGTCCCTCTGCGCAAGCCGTTGACAGGCCGTGTTCGGCGCACCCCCTTGCCGAAAACATAAACGGCGAAAGACAAAGCAGCGTCAGAGAGACGAACAGCGCTGTCTGACCCACACCACGAACACAGCTCCGTAGAAAATATGTTGCGCCGCAACCCTACGTTTCGTTTCGCCTCTCGATGAACCGTAACCCATGACAACCAGGCAGACTTGCGGGTCATGCAGAACCTTGAGTGCCCAAAGAAACTTGGGTGAGCGGCTGGGTCGAACATCGAAACCAGAGGCACGACAAAACTAAACCGTGACCTCGCCATCTGATTGCCCCCGTTCGAAAATTCTACAACACCTCTGGGGTGTCCCGAGTGTTGAATACGTGCTACAGTGGCGGGGCCTGATCAGCGGCGGTAGATATGTGCCCGTTCACCGGCACAATACCGACGCCGGCATTATTCATGACATATACAAGGGCAACGTAGTACAGGAGAGGAATGGACATCCGTGTCCAGAGATTTGACCGGCGCTATGCCGGGCATCGTCACTATTATTCAAAGTACAGAACGACTCCATGACTCAGCCTATACTAGCCGAACAAACCGGCAACATAGCGGGCACAGGCACTATTCAACCGGCACTAAATAGGACCCCCGACCTTGTTGGGAGAAACCAAGCCACATCAACCTCACCAATGTTGTTGATCTCGCCGTCTCGTTGCCCCACCAGCACCTCCGTGTCTTCCAGCACCGCCATCTGCTGCTCGTTGAACCCGGGGTCTAGCCGCCCCTTCGCGTGCTTGGAGGCGCGCTCCTCCTCTGCCAAGAAGTCAAACGCCCCGTCTCCCTGGTGCCAGCCACGAAAATATGGGTTGTATCGAAACCGTCAGGAGAAGCCAACATCGACGAAGGTGGGCACCACCTTGTACTAGGGTACGTCTTCCCGCTGCTGTGGTGCGTAACGGTTTTTCTCCAACTCACTGCAAAGACTTCTACAGCCTTCGACTGTGGTTATATCTCCAACGGGCAGTCTTTCTTTCAGTGATTGGATCGATTTCTTCTAGAACAATCTCCAACTGGCAGCTTTTCTTTCAGTGATTGAATCAATTTCTCCTAGAACAATGTGAGGATTGCATGGCGTTTGTCATGGAACTGCGGAATAAAATAGTAGCATGGTCGGCCAATTTAGACAGCCCTACAGCAGTAGGGTCAGGACGGAACGTGGTCGATGTTGCCGGCACAACGGCGGCTACTAGTCCGGGTGCAGCGGTACCACGAGATTTGATGGCCGCCATACAGGGCATGTCGCTACACCGGGACCACTACAGTAGGCCCACGCAAGCTACACGCACCTTGCGCGCAACCCCGAGATTTACCGTCTCCCAACTATACATACAGCCGTAATCAACATGTAACGGTCGGCAGCAATTTCTCCACGTGGGAAACGTGACACTAGCATAATCTGGTCATCAGCCTCACCCGCTGGTAGCATAAAATTGCCTTCAGCCAAGAAAAAACAAGTGGTTTTGCGGGGGGGGGGGGGGGAGGGGCCCCCTTGGCTTTTGCTCTTTTCCTCACCCTTTTTTTCCCCTTCAAACCTCCAAAGTAATCCTTTTTGCTTTTTTCGAAACCTCCCCAAAAGGAATTGAATTTCCCCCCCCTGGCCCCCTTAAATTTTTTACCCCCCTTTCCACCCGAAGAACAAAAAAAAAGACCAAAACTAAAGAAACGAAAAAAAAAAAAACATAAATACATATTTTAAAAAAAAAATACCACTTTTTGAAAACATAAAAAACCCCCCCCTTTTTTCCAAAGGGTAAACATTAATTTGGAAAAGTTGAAAAACTTGCACACCAAAAAAAAAATTCATCCAATTTTTCTTTCTTTTTTCCCCGGAAAAACGAAAAAAAATCCAAATGAAACCCAACCCTCACCCCAAAAAACCTCCTCAAAAACAACCCCCCCCCCCAAAAAACTTTGAACAAAAATTTTTTTTTTCAAGCCCATATTAAATTTTCGGCTCTCCCCAAAAAAAAAATTTTTAAGCTCCCCC